GCTGGGTAGGGCCAGAGAGGGCTGGTTGGGGTCCCTGCCACTCTGACACTGGGCAGTGGACAGTGCCTTGCCCCCGCCTTGCCCCAGCATCCCCTGGCAGCCCGCCTCCCAGCCTGAGCCCCTCATCGTGGCTTCCCCCGCAGTGCTCAGTGACATGCGGGGAGGGCACTCAGCACCGAAGTGTCCTCTGCACCAATGACACCGGTGTCCCCTGTGACGAGGCCCAGCAGCCAGCCCACCAAGTCACCTGCTCTCTGCCACCCTGTCTGCGGCCCCTGGACACACTGGTCCCTGAAGGCTCAGGGAGCGGCTCCTCCAGCCACGAACTCTTCAACGAGGCTGACTTCATCCCGCGCCACCTGGCCCCACGCCCTTCACCCACCTCAGCACCCAGGCCAGCCAGCATGGGCAACGCCATCGACGAGGAGGCCCTGGAGCTGGACCCACCAGGGCCCGTGTTTGTTGACGACTTCTACTACGACTACAATTTCATCAATTTCCACGAGGACCTGTCCTACGGGCCCTTTGAGGAGCCCGATCTAGACCTGGCAGGGACAGGGGATGGGACACCCACACCACGTGGCCGTCCTGCTGCGTCCTCCACAGGTAGCCCCGTGTCTGCCACAGAGCCTCCTGCAGCCACGGAGGAGGGGCCACCGGGACCTTGGTCCCCTAGCCCTTGGCCCAGCCAGGCCGGCCGCTCCCCACCCCCACCCTCAGAGCCGACCCCTGGGAACTCTTTGCTCAATTTCCTGCCTGAGGAAGACACCCCCATAGGGGCTCCAGATCTTGGGCTCCCCAGCCTACCCAGGCCCAGGGTTTCCCCTAATGGCGTGCAGACGCCTATCGCCCCTGGGAGCCAAAATGACTTGGTTGGCGAGGACAGCCAGCGTCAGCTGCCCCCTCCGTGGTGGGACAGGACCAATGAGGTTTCCAAGGACGATGAGGAACCCGGGAGCCACAGAGCCCCCCACCTGCCCTCGAGACCCAACCCCACGCTGCCCGCTTTGTCCCCTGTCGGCAGCACCCACTCCTCTCCTGTTCCTGATGTGGTGGAGCTGTGGACAGGAGGGACTGTAGGCTGGAAGCCAGCTCTGGAGGGTGGCCTGGGGCCTGGGGACAGTGAGCTGAGGCCCACTGTGGAGGCGGCTCCTCCCCTTCCTCCTCCCATAGCCCCTCCGCCAGAGGACAGCCCCCTGCAGCCGGGGACTCCCAACTCCCCAACCCCAGGACCAGGGTCCTGGGACCTGCGGACTGTGGCAGTGTGGGGCACCTTCCTCCCCACGACCCAGACTGGCGTCGGGCGCACACCTGAGCCTGAGCCTGCCCCGAGCCCGGGACCCGAGGGCCAGCCTGAGTCTCTCAGCCCTGAGGTGCCCCTGAGCTCTGGGCTGCTGTCCACGCCAGCTTGGGACAGCCCTGCAAACAGCCGCAGAGCCCCTGAGACCCAGCCCCCGGCCCCCAGCCTGGCTGAAGCGGAGCCCCCTGTGGACCCGCTGGCTGCCAGGAATGCCAGCTGGCAAGCTGGAAACTGGAGCGAGGCAAGTGATGCGGGCCGGGCTGGCGGGGAGTTTGCCCGGGACCTTGGTGATTGTTGCCTCACCTGAAAGTGAGCAGCGTGGGACACAGGCGCGCGGTCTGTCCCGCCTCCCTCAGGGCAGGGGTTCCCAGGATTAGGCGGATGAGGGGACCCCAGGGCCCATTCCTGGGCAGCACAGGGGGCCTCAGGGAAGCCAGGGCAGGCACACTCTGGCAGCACACCCCATGACAGAGTCACTCAGACAGCTGTGCAGAGGGCAGGGTCCCCTCATGGTCCACAGGCCCAGTCCTGCCCAGAAAGCAGCAAACTTCCTTGAGGCTCAGCCTGGCTCCTCCACGCTGGGCTCAGCCCACTGCCACCTGGCTCTGCCCTCAATGGCTCCACCCTCCTTTGGCAGTGACCTGCAGGGGTCTGAGCTGTATGAAAGAAGCTGGCCAGTGCCCCCTCCCTGGGTCCCCAGATGGTCACTGCAGGAGAAGCAAGCTTCTGTTCAGATCCCTAACTTGGAGGTGGGAAGGGGCAGGCTGGTCAGGATAGCTGGTCAGGGGTGCCCGCAGGGTCCCCTTCCCCTGCCTCTGTACCAGTGACGCTGCAACACAGGCCCTTTGTCCTTTGTGGGCAGGGTCAGTTGGTTGTTGGGGTGGGGGTTGACTTTTTATTCTGACGGTCTTCCTGGGAGGTGGGTGGAGGAGTCTATTTTGCAAATAAGAAAACAGGCCCAGAAGAGGGGACTGTCCTGCTGAGGTCTCGCTAGCCTAGGTGGGTAGTTCCTGGCTGTGGGGGCCTGGCGGGGATGGGGTCTGCCTGGCTTTCACGGGTCTGTGCCCCGCAGTGCTCCACCACCTGTGGCCTGGGCGCCGTCTGGAGGCTGGTTCGCTGCAGCTCCGGCCGGGATGAGGACTGTGCCCCTGCTGGCCGGCCCCAGCCTGCCCGCCGCTGCCACCTGCGGCCCTGTGCCACCTGGCACTCGGGCAACTGGAGTAAGGTGCGTGAGGTTGGAGCCAGGGCAGGGAGCCCCAGGGCATGGGGCAGAGCCCTGGGTCCCCACGGCCTGTGTTCCGAGAGCAGCAGGGCAGGGGAGGGCTCTGGGCTGCACGTCTGGGTACCCGATGGCACTGGATCTGAATCTCCTGGGAGTCTTCATTTTTGTCTGGCTTGGCCTGCCTCCTCCCCTCTGTATTTCTGACCCCATCTGCACTTGTCTTTCACCAGCTTGCCTTTTTTATTTCTCCCTTTCTCCGTCTGTCCCTGCCCATGGCAGCCCATGGCAGCCCCTGGCTGGGCACCTTTGGCCTGGGGCTTGCCAGCCTTGGCCTCTCGCTGGAGCTCTTCAGGGATCTGCCCCGGGCTGGAGCGTGGGCCTGATGCCTTCCCTGACACATGCCTCTCGGGATTGCACGTGTGGGCCTGCACGTGGGGGGTGTCCACACGTGTCTCTCTGTCCCCAGTGCTCCCGCAGCTGCGGTGGAGGCTCCTCAGTGCGGGACGTGCAGTGTGTGGACACACGGGACCTCCGGCCGCTGCGACCCTTCCATTGTCAGCCGGGGCCAGCCAAGCCACCTGCGCACCGGCCCTGTGGGGCCCAGCCCTGCCTCAGCTGGTACACCTCTTCCTGGAGGGAGGTGAGGCCTGGGGGTCCAGTTGGGGGGAGGGGGTGCCCTCAGACCCTGGCTGTGCCCTGACTCCTTCCCTGCACCCCAGTGCTCTGAGGCCTGTGGCGGTGGTGAACAGCAGCGTCTGGTGACCTGCCCGGAGCCAGGCCTCTGCGAGGAGGCACTGAGACCCAACGCCACGCGGCCCTGTAACACTCACCCCTGCACGAAGTGGGTGGTGGGGCCCTGGGGCCAGGTGAGCTGGGCTGCGTGGAGGAGCAGGGAGCAAGGGCTTGGTGGTACCTGGTCGGTCCTGGGTTGGGTGAAGCAGCTATTGAGTGCGGCTGAGAGCCAGGCTGTCTCTGGCCACTGCTCGTGCAGCAGTGACTGGACGAGGTCCCGCCCTGCTGGTGCTCACAGCCCGCCAGGGAGAAACAGACAAGGAAAGAGCACATGTGCCGCGATGTTAGGGAAGGCCCTCCCAGGAGGGGCCTGGAGTTGAGACCCGAGGGAGGAGTCAGTGATGCCAAGGACAGGGATAAAAGGGACAGTAGGTGTGAAGTCTGAGGCAGGAATGATGAGCTTGGGGCAATCAGGGAGCCTGGCAAAGGCCAGCGGCAGAAGGGGGCGGAAGAGGAGACTCGGGTGGGCAGGACACCTTCTCCCAGGTCTGTTTGGAATGAAGGAGTTCAGAAATCTCAGCTCTAGGCCCTGAGCCGGGCCCTGGAATCAGTTGGGCCAGGGTTCGAGTCTTCGTCCCACTGGCTGCTGAGTGACTCTGGGCGGGTTGCTTTGCCTTGCTGGGTCGCTGTTTTCTCATCTGTAAAACGGGGACAGCTTGGGAGAGGAGGGTTGGGAGGATTAAATGAAGTAACAGGATGAAGCACAGGGCCGGGCACAGACTCGGCGGGCACAGCACGACACTGGCACAGACTCGGCACACATTCAGGGCTTTCAGACCCGCACCTGGTAATAACGAAGCCTGGCGGCCCGGGCCCTGGCTGTGAAACCTGTCTCCTCCCCTCCTGCCTGTGGGCTGGGCAGGTCCTCTGCCCCATCGCTCGGGCACAGCGGTGTCTTGCCCACGTCTCTGCCCGCTGCTGCATTAGGGCTCCATCCCGGGGCTCTGCCCAGGCCTCTCAGGCATGTCCCATGTGAGGGGCTCGCTGCCCTGCAGCCTCGAGGACTGTCCCCACTGTTCTCATGCCACTCTCCGCTGCAGGAGACGATCCCATAAATGCGAGTGGGATTCGAGTACCGATTGAGCTCTAGACACGGGACCAGGCCCTCCCAGGTGGCACTGAGGGCGGGGCTGGGAGCAAGGGCAGGCCAGTCAGGCACAGGGCGCAGGGATGGCTTCCCAGAGGAGGTGTCACTGCCCCTGCCTCTAAGGTGGCCCAGGGAGACACTCCTTCCTCCCCACCCCCCGCAGTGCTCAGCCCCCTGTGGCGGGGGCATCCAGCGGCGCCTGGTCAAGTGTGTCAACACCCAGACAGGGCTGCCCGAGGAAGACAGCGACCAGTGTGGCCATGAGGCCTGGCCCGAGAGCTCCCGGCCGTGTGGCACCGAGGACTGCGAGCCCATCCAGCCACCCCGTGAGTCCCCGAACCCCTGGCTCTCTGCTAAAGTGAGGTGGGGTGTGGAGGGTGATGGGGAGTAGGATTGTCAAACCATCGCACCCATGGCACCGGCTGGCTCCATATGTAGTCTGGGCTCAGGAGCCACGTGGCCACTGAATCCTGAGGCCATGGATGCCATGCTGGAGCCTGGGCTGTGCTAGGAGTCAGCCCGGGGGTCCCAGCCACATGATATCCTGCTGGCAGATGTCTGGTCTCGGGGTAGGAGAGGGAGCGGCCCTGGCCCCTGAG